AGCATGCGCGCGCGGAGACCACATCCGGGTAATTTCAGGGTTTGGCCCTTTCCCCCCTCAGCTTTCCTTTCTCCCGGCTGCCCCCGCCTCCCGCCCGCAGTGCCGGGAGGGCGCTCTGCGCAGGCGCCCGCGGAGGAGGAGAGCCAGCCCGCCAGCGGTCAGCCGGACTCGGCCTGGGACCCGGCCCTGCAGGGAGGCGCTGCCCCTCAGAGGTGGGCGAGAAGGGCCGCCTGGAGGGAGCGATCGCCGGAGAAATTGGCAACTCTTCGCAGAAAGGTACCCAAGAAGCGCGGGAGAGCGCGGCGCGTAGAGGCGTCCAGTAAGTGTTTCTAAAGAGCGGCCGGTCGGGCCTGGTTTGGGGGGACCTCCGGGGGCACCAAAATGAGACTGCAGCTGCTAGCAGTTCACTTCGGGAGGAAGCCGATGGTGCCGGCCCCTTCCTGCCCCGATCACTCGGTTCAGAGGCGCTGACGTTGGCGGGACTCTCCCATATGGGGCCACATGACATAAACGGGGTGAGAGAAACGCACTAGATAGTCAGGGAATCGCACGTGAGAGCCTGGCCGGTGTCTCTAAAAGTTAGTGGTTCTTGTCGGAGAGATTTAGGCGGATCGTCAGGGTTGGAAGGAACCTCTGAGGACCTACGCACACCTGTTAACCAGGTACCCTTCGGGTAGGGGAAGGCCAAACTCTGCTTGCTTTACCTCATACTTCTTGTTCTTGACATATTTACAAGAAGCGCGCGTTTCTTTTACATTTAAAAAGTTCCAGAAAGTACATACTATTTTTTTTCTTTTTCACCAACCAGGAAATACTTCTGTGGGGGTTCCACGGAGACCAATTAGAAAGTTCTAAAGGCCTGGTTTAGAGCCTAAAGCCATCTGCTGCTGGGCGTGGAGGAGGCCTTGCCTCGGCGGAAGTGGGACTGCCCCGGAAGTGGGACTGCCCCGTGGAAGTAGGACTGCCCCGAGCGTTGGCATCTCCGCCCAGGCCGGCTCCACCATGTCCAAGGTTTCCTTTAAGATCACCCTGACGTCCGACCCGCGGCTGCCCTACAAAGTACTCAGTGTTCCTGAAAGTACACCGTTCACCGCAGTCTTGAAGTTCGCCGCGGAAGAGTTTAAAGTTCCTGCCGCCACGAGTGCCATTATCACCAATGATGGAATAGGAATAAATCCCGCACAGACTGCCGGAAATGTCTTCCTAAAGCACGGCTCGGAACTGCGAATCATTCCTAGAGACCGTGTTGGAAGCTGTTAATGTCCTCTGCTTAAAGATAAATACACCTTTCAAAGTCAATATTGGTATTGCCCAGCCGGTGTGGCTCAGTTGGTTGAGGACCGGACCATGCACCAAGAGGTCGCCAGTTTGAATCCCAGTCAGGGCACATGCCCCGGTGTCGGGGGTGATCCCCAATGGATGTTCACCCCTCATGGATGTTTCTCTCTCTCTCCTTCTCTCTCCCTCTATCTCTAAACTCAATAAAAACATTTCAATAAGTAAATATTGATATTGCTGTTGTAGAATTAAAATCAGGCACTTATTCAACCAAAGAACTTGTATGCATATATGCATAACCCATGGACACAGTAGGGTGGTGAAGGCCTGGGGCAGTGATGGCGAACCTATGACACGCGTGTCAGATGTGATTCGTGAACTCATTTTTTTGGTTGAATTTTCTTTGTTAAATGGCATTTAAATATATAAAATAAATATCAAAAATATAAGTCTTTGTTTTACTATGGTTGTAAATATCAAAAAATTTCTATATGTGACACGGCACCAGAGCTAAGTTAGGGTTTTTCAAAATGCTGACAACACTGAGCTCAAAAGGTTCACCATCACTGGCCTGGGGGGAGAGGCGTTAGAAGGAGCTAATGGGGGTAAGGGGGACATATGTAATACTTTTAACAGTAAAGATTTAATTTTAAAAAATAAAAAAGAGCCCAGCAGAGAGCAAAAAAAAACCAAAAACAACTTTGAAAATGGCAATAGTTGATGAAATAATGAAAGATGACTCTTTCCTTTGTTACTCGCTCTCTTCGTGTGAAGAGAGAAGGCTTATGCATTGAGGGTACCATTTTTACGGAAGATCTTAGTCTTTCATTGCTACCTCACAGCATGCACAGCTAGTTCATTAGGGGTAAATGAATTATCCAACTGTGTTTTATTACTGAAGGATGCTTCTGAGAATTCCTTCTGAGAACATGTGGAAGATTAAATTTATTGAATCTATTTGTCTTTAAAATTTTAAAAGGATTGGATCATACATGGCAGGTTACTTGACAGGATCTGACTTGCAGACTCAAAAGTAGTTGAATTGTTAATTATATCGTGCTTATGATAAAGGATATAGACATATCCATGAATACTTAACCAATTTTTTACATTTAGATTTTTTTTTTAAGTTTCAAGCTTCATGTGTTCATATAAACTTTAATATCAGAGGGCCAAAAATTGAATTTTCTTATCTAGTCCCATGTGTAAAATTTATATCCCTCACCAAATAGTTTTAACTATGTTCTTGCAGAATCCAATACTTGTAATTGGGAAAAATAGAAGCATCCATTGCTGAAAAATAATAAAGTCATCTATTAAGTCATATGGCCCTGAAACTCTCGTAGTCCCCCTCCTGCCTTTCACACAGTGCACACCCCTTAGCCCCATGCTGTTCTTGCCATCATAGCCTGAGCGCCTCCCGTTTCTACCAGAAAGCTTCTAAAACTGTCCTCTTCACCAGTGTCCCCTTACCCCGGGGGTGTGAAGACTTTCCAAGACTAGTTTTAAGGGAATTCATTTCCAGATCCTCCTCTGATATCTGTACTATTTTCTCAGATTTCTCAGCTTTAGAAAGCACCTGAAGACATAGCAGCCTCTTTTAAAACTGTCTTTCTCCCACCTTAGAAAAAAGTCAAAAGCCTCACCCATTATGAAGGTACCTTGACCCAACACGTAAAGACCTCCAGCGTAGTTCACAGGGACAGTTCAAGAGCTAGTGTCTGTGCTGAGAAAGTAAGCTACCCGAACAAAAGGGCCATAAATTCGCTTGTAAGTCCCACTTCTTTATCAACAAAATTAATAATAGGTCAACATGGGATTCTTAGACAATACACCTCAGTTGGGGTTAAAATAATTGAATAACATTGCTATAACTAAACTTCCATTCCCATCTGTACTAGTTAACCTTGTATTAGTTAACCTTGTTGTATTAGTTAACCTTGCTGTATAGCACAGCAGCTTAAAACACCAATGCATTGGCTCACAGTTTCTGTGGGTCCGGAGTCCACACATGGCTTTCCCGGGTCCCCTGCAAGACCACATCGTGATGCTTGGCTGGGAAAGGATCCGTTTCCCAGTTAACCTGGTTGTTGGCGGCATTCAGTTCCCTGCAGGCTGTAGGACCCGAGGGCCTTAGTCCCTAGCTGGCTGTGAGTTCCCCCAGTTCTGGGACATGTGACCCTCTCCATGGGGAAGCTTACAATATGGCAGCTGGCGTATTCAAAGCCAGCAAGGGGGACAGTTTAGGTGTAAGACATTGGTTACAACCTTATGTAACATCATCACATACACGTGATCACATATATCCTGACACCTTTGCCATTATTTGATTGGCCAGAAGCAAATCCCAAGTCCCATCCCCATTCAAGGAAAACTACACAAGGGCATGAACACCAGGAGGTGAGGATCATAGGGGCCACATTAGAGTCTGTCCACCACACCTATTTATTTATGCAAATGACAATTCTGATAAGCTTAACCTCAGAACTTTTCTTCAGGTTCCCTTCACCTTCTTGCTAAAGGAAACCTGACTTACCCCTGGGACACTGCTTCCCCTTCTCCCTCTCAAGTAGTAGCAACTGTATTTTCAACCATAAGCACCTTAGCCTGTGCCTGGAGGTGAGATAGGTGTCCTTATTCCTCAGCATGCGTCCAGACCACCCCCTCTCTCCTCTCTATTAACGTGCAGCTTTAAATCTTGTTACCCAGTACTCCTCATCTTATTCTCATTCCCCTTCCATTTTTCACCATGTGCTCCTGTCAGTCACTCCAATGCCATTTCTGTCTCGGTGGCTATAATATTCTATACTACGATGGTTTTCTCATTACCTTGACCTCTCAGTTCCTTGACTTCTCCTCCAAAAATCTTGTCCTACTCTAACTCAGCCACTTGCTCCCATGAGTATAATCACAGGAACCTTATCGAACTCTGCAACTTCTTCATCCTCACCATTTCAAACATATCACACTCTGAACACCACCTCATATCTCCTCACTCCCTATAGCACTCTAACCCCAACAATTCTTCCATCCACACACCCACTTTCTCCCATTCTCACCACGGCCAATTATTGCCATCATTTCCGGGCACACACTCTCAACCCCCAGACTCGCCTCCCCCCTTTTCCTGCTTGCTGGGCAAAACCACAGTCCTGGATTCAAGCCAGCTCTCCACCTACTCCGTGCCAGCAGCCATGCACCTGACTGTGGCTACAGAAAAGCAGTCACACTGACTCGTTTCACTTTCATTTCATCAGTGGGAACTTCAAGTGGGCCCTTAGCGCTGCCCATGAATCCTACTTCCCTTCATCAATCTTCTGGATTTCCTACTTTTTCTGTCCTCTAACCTACACCTCTTTCCATAAATCATCATTCTCAGTTAATGACCTTGCTTTCTATTTCATGGAGAAAATTGAAGCCATGAGATGAAAACTTCCACAGTTTTCCCACCATCTCATCGACCCATAGTCACAAATCAGCATCTAGAACCTCTTCTTCACCTTCCCCTCCAGTACAGGGTGAGTTTTCCAAGCTCCTCGCTAAAGCCAGGTTCCCGGCCAAGGCAATAGATCCCAATCTTGCCTTGCCTAATCAAGATCATCACCTTCACTCCGGCAATGATACCCTCTCCTCTATGTTATCAATGTTCCCCCTCTCTACTGGGGTCACCCCCATTAGCTTACAGTAGCTGTTTTTTCTCCAGTCTTACAAAATCTTCGCTTCCACTGTCAGCTACTGCCCCATTTCTCTGCTTCCTTTGCAACAAAGCTTCTAAAATTTTCTATACTTTCTGTCTCCACTTCTCCCATTCTGTAGCAGCAGATACATGCCATATGATACATTCATATCAAGTTTATAAACATGCCAAATACAGTAAGACTACACACACATATAATCAAATCATAACAACACACAAGGTTACACGTGGCATATTTTAGGCTTTTGAGCGAGAGGTTCTCCCATCCTCTCTTAAACTCATTCCATCATAGATTTTCCCTGGCTGGGGAGGGCGGTCAGTTGTTGGGAGGGTCATCCCATTGACCAATAGCTTTCGGGTTCAAGTCCTGGTCAGGGTACATACCTAAGTTGTGGATTCAATCCCTGATAGGGGTGCATATGGGAGGCAACATATCGATGTTTCTCTCTCACATTGATATTTCTCTGTTCCTCTCTTTCTCTCTCTCTCTTTTTCTCTTTCTTCCTCTCTCTCTCTAAAAATCAATAAACATATCCTCTGATGAGGATTAAAAAATATAATGCTTGCCGAAACCGGTTTAGCTCAGTGGATAGAGCGTCGGCCTGCGGACTGAAAGGTCCCGGGTTCGATTCCGGTCAAGGGCATGTACCTGGGTTGCGGGCACATCTTCAGTGGGAGATGTGCAGGAGGCAGCTGGTTGATGTTTCTCTCTTATCGATGTTTCTAGCTCTCTATCTCTCTCCCTTCCTCTCTGTGGAAAACCAATAAAATATATTAAAAAAATATAATGCTTTAATTTTAATAGTTTATCAAAATTTATAGTATTTTATGTTTAAAGCAATTAAGTATTCAAAATTGTATCAATAATAAAATAAGGATGAGTTTTAAAATTTTATTTTTTTGTAGG